TGTAACAAGAGTTGAGTTGGGATATTTTTGGGGGGCATTGGTGAAGAAAAAAAAAATGTGAAAGGTGGAGTTTGCATGGTGAAAGGTCGACAACTCGAAATAAAAGTCATCTACAGTGGGGCCCAGTCTCTCACCCCATTAAAAAACCCCTATTTTATGCTATATGCTACTGTTGTTTGTTGCCTTTTCAAACACAACCCCCAAACATTATTAAAATAATGAAAAGCTTTTTTGTCTTTATGACTCATGTATGACCATCATCAAAAGCCTCCCCATTTCTAAACTAATATCACAGACCACCTATGTATTTTGTAGTATATCAAAAATTGCCCCAATAACAATTTCAAGATTGCAATATTACCCTTTAATATAGTGCTTTCTAGAACTTTCTAATCTCAATTACAATCATTTAGCCTAAACTATATCGGGTAGTTCTTTCTTCCCTTTGTCCTTTTTATTTTTATTTTCATTTTTATTTGTTATATATATATATATATTTTGATCAAAAGAGTAATTTCCATTAAAGTAGCCAAACGATACTTATAAGGGTATGAATTCATCCAACATAATCTTATACCATCGAAGGAAAGATGAAAATCAAAGAAAAAATAGAAGTAAACCTATGAAGAATACTCAGCTACGCAACGATGCTTGTGCTCGTACTGCAAGCAGAGGCCAACAAACGGCCGTAGAACATGCTGAGGATAAATCATAGATTACAACCACAATGTGGGTAAGCAACACTAAGCACAGATGGATTCCATAAACAAAATCAAACCAAAATAAAACATAAACAAAAAGAATACCTTAATTCAACCGCAAATCAGATCGGTAGTAGATCTGTCTCAGATCTACACCAAACGAGTTGGAGGAGAAGAACCCAGGAGGCCAGATGGTGAAGGCCGTAGATTCGGCGAGAGGTGGAAGATTTGGTGACGATGTGGTGGTGGCGGCGCTGGTATGAAGCTAAGAGAAGGAGAACGACGGATCTGGTGAAAGCTTCGACTGGTGTAAGGCAGGGGAAAAGAGGAAGTGAAGAAAAACAGACGAAAATCTATCATAAGGGGAAAAAGACCTCACAAGGAGGGAGAAGATGAAAAGCAAAGCTTCCAAAGTTTATTGACCAGAGATGGCAGACGGAACGGAAGAAAGAAAGGGGTAGAGAGGAGGAGAGAGGCGACGGGAGGCTTGAGCCCTCATCCCCGCACCCCAACGGCGCGCAAAAAACGATAACCCTAGAAGCAAGAAAAAGGGTTAGAGAGAAGCTATGTATTTTAAGAGAGTTGTTGTAACGATTCTTATAGTTTGGGTCTTGTGTTACTTTGGTCTCTAACTTTTTAATTGTGACACATTTGATCATGTATTTTCAATTTTGTTCTAAATAAGGACAATCTTTCTTCCCTTTGTCCTTTTTATTTTTATTTTTATTTGTTATATATATATATATATATATTTTTGATCAAAAGAGTAATTTCCATTAAAGTAGCTAAACGACACTTACAAGGATATGAATCCATCTAACATAATCTTACACCATCGAAGAAAAGATGAAAATCAAAGAAAAAATAGGAGTAAACCTATGAAGAATACTCAGCTGCGCAACAGATGCTTGTGCTCGTACTGCAAACAGAGGCCAACAAACAGCTGTAGAGCATGCTGAGGATAAATCATAGATTATAACCACAATGTGGGTAAGCAACACTAAGCACAGATAGATTCCATAAACAAAATCAAACCAAAATAAAACATAAACAAAAAGAATACCATAACTCAACCGCAAACCGGATCGGTAGTAGATCTGTCCCAAATCTACACCAAATAAGTTGGAGGAGGAGAACCCAGGAAGCCAGATGATGGAGGCCGTAGATCCGGCGAGAGGTGGAAGATTTGGTGACAATGTGGTTGTGGCGGCGCCGGAGTGAAGCTAAGAAGAGGGGGACGACAGATCTGGTGAAGGCTTTGACTGAAGTAAGGCAGAGGGGAAGAGAAAGTGAAGAGAAACAGACGAATATCCACCATAAGGGAAAAAATACCTCACAAGGAGGGAGGATGGAAAACAAAGCTACCAAAGCTTATTGACCAGAGATAGCAGAGGGAACGGAAGAAAGAAAGGAGTAGAGATGAGGAGAGATGCTGCTGGAGGCTTGAGCCCCCCTCCCCTACCCCAACGACGCTCAAAAAACGAAAACCCTAGAAGCAAGAAAAAGGTTAGAGAGAGAAGCTCTGGTTGTGGTTAGACATACTATTTGTTATATTGTATGGCAAGAGATTCATAGTTTTCAAAATCTGTAATCATACCAAAATTTGAGATTCATAATCTCGTGACAGTGAGTGTGTGTAAAACGTAATAGTGTAAAATTGAAATTAATATAAAGTTAACTAAGTGAGACTATTAATTATGATGAAAATAGTATTTTATTAAAATTTTAATCCACCTCACTGTGAATTGTGTTTTATAGTTTCTTCTAAGCCAAGGAATAAGTCTTCTAAACTTGCGTGATTTATGCATTGAATTTCTTTTGAAACAGTGAAATAAGAATAAATGTATCCCTCTAGACCTTACACCTTAAGAAACATGAATAATACTATATGTATAAACTAATGTATTAATTAATGTGTCAATTGATGATGTGATATAATTTAAGATGTTTTTGATATTTTTAATTTGTATAATAAGTGGAGTCAATAATAATGTCATAACTAGTGTTAGTATACTAATTAATATATTAATTGGTGCATGTAGCACCACCATAAGAAACGTAGATTAATGTTAAAATTTGCTTATAGAAATGCTAGAAATAGACGAAAGTATATAAAATAATGATGTTTGATTATTAAATTGTCAATGTCATACCACTCTAATAGAAAATTATATATATAATTTGATCAAGGTTGGCCCTTTCTATGTTTAGGAAGGTTCTTAATTTTTTGAATTTTTTTATCCCCGTTCATATTTGTCCAAAGGTTTCACAAAAAATAAAAATAAAAATAAAAAATTTTAAGACCAGCAAAATAATATGTTTAGGAAGGTTCTTAATTTTTTGAATTTTTTTTATCCCCGTTCATATTTGTCCAAAGGTTTCACAAAAAATAAAAATAAAAATAAAAAATTTTAAGACCAGCAAAATAAAAGGTGTCATTCTCAAATGCTTAAAAAAATGGTTTTATCTAAAGGCTTATAATAAGAATAATAAATGTTTTCTTGTCCAAAGTCCATTGAAGTAAAAACACTTACGCCTCGTTTGGGATGCTACTTTTTTAGTCAATTAGCCAATTAGTCATACTAAAAAGTCAACAATTATGGCTTCTCTTTACTTTTTGCACAACTTTTCCTAATTAGTCAAAAAGTCATCCCAAACATACAAATTTTTTTTACCTACCTTTTTAGCCAATTAGCCAAAAAGTTACTAAATTAACCTGTTCCCAAACGAGGCCTTAGGGTTGGTTTGGAAAGTGGGTTGACTTTTTGATTTTTTGACTTTTTTCGCTATTTTAGTCTGGGCTAAAAAGTTTGGTTTGAGGATTTTTTTGACTTTTTTTGTGAGAGAATAGTGTAATGATTATGGATTGGATGTGATGTTTTGTTTGTTGTGGCTAAAATAACCTATTTTATCTTTTATGATTAAAATAGCCAAAAAAACTCACAAAATCCCTTCGCAAACGGTGCCTTAGTCCAATAATAAAAGTTGTATAAAACATTCCAAAGGTTATGCAAGAAATACAAAACTTCCATATCAAACAGCCCAACCAAAAAAAAAAAAAACATTTATTATCCACAAAGGCCCCAATAGTAAAGGCAAGAAACCAATTTTAATGACAAGTATAAATGTGCAAAGAAATAAAATACAAAACAAAAATGTTTTGAAGTGTAAATTTTTTGGGCCACTTTTAAATTTAATTATGAATTTTGTTAATGAGGCAGGCATTTGTTAAGTATTTTGAAATGATTGTACATTTTTTTAAAAAATTTATAAAAGAATGTCTTGTAAAAAATGTACAATAATTTTAAATTTTATTAATCAATATCTTTAACACAGTTGTTAATAAGACTAAAAAAGATATAGAAGAATTAACAATTTTCAGATCAAAACAGGCCTTAGCCTGGATTCAGCCCATAATTGAAGATTGGCTGGGTTTCAATTTGGGCCAAACCCATTTCAAAATTTAACATAATGGGCCCAGGCCCAAAATGATCACGAACCCCTGAACTCGAAGCCAAGGCCCGTTGGCTACAAAAAACCTAATCGGCCCATTGTTTTTCAGATGATGAGGTGTCGGCAAACTGCGGCGGCGGCGGAGCACGGCGGACAATCTCCGACGACCGCTAACGCAGCCACGATGGTGACGGAATTTCCCGATCAGTCTGAAACCTCTGCAACGCCACCGTCTTCGGCACTCAGATCTTCGAACAGGTATGGTATCGACTCCTTTGATTTGAATTGAACTGATCATTACTTGAGATTTTGTTCCTAATTTTTTTTTGTTTTTGTTTGGGGATAATTTTGAGTTGATATTATAATCTGAAGACTAAAATTGAGGATGTGATCTTCAAAATACTAATAATTTGATTAGAAAAACTATATGTGGAAGATTGTTCTTGGGAATGGTAAGAAGCAGTTGTGTTTAGTCTCAGGTGTGTGTGCTTTTTAACTTTATGGTGGTGCTGAAGTGACATATTAAACCTAAATTTTGGTACAGTGCAGAGTTAAACTGGCATAATTTGAAATATTGCTCTAATGGTGAAATTCTATTTTTTGGATTTTCTTCATAAAAATTAAATATGAATGTCATTTGTGGACATGGTCACAGAAGATAGAGAGAAGAACTCTCACCATTTTTTTGTTGTTGACATTTTGTCAAAACTTTTTTGGCATAAAATTTGCATGGCTATAATTTGATATGAAAAATAGTATACCATTGGACATGTATTTGAAAAAGTTGTCGAATTTTGACGAGGATAATTGACATGAAGATAGCACATCATTGGAATTGCTCTTACTTTGAATTGTTATTTCATGGGATGGAGGAGAGGGGTTAATGTATATAATGAAAATTTGGCACAAGGCAAGATATTCTTGGAAGGTGATGAATCTGTTGTTTATCATTGAACTAAAACTGGCGGGATAGTAAAGAGCAATTTGATGCTTATACATCTAACTAGTGACATGGTTACAATGTGAACAAAATTGAGCTGCCCAAGTATAGGAATTGAGAAACATCATTCATCATCATATCTTGCTTCTCAACCTCACTAACTTTGCTAATGTTTCTTGAGCAGCCAATGTCTGAGCATGGTTATGGCCCAGCATCACTGTCCTGATACTAATACATGTTCTGCAGAGCTCTTCACCGCTGTCAAAATGCCTGCCTCTGAGCAGCAATTTCGCTCTAGTCTCCAGCAGCGTGGCTTTCAACAGTGTCACATCTTGCCATACATACTCATCCACCCTCTGGTTCGGTTGCAGCCTTTTCTTCCAGCAAAGCGAGCCTCGACACCAATCTTGAATCTGAGATACAAACGATTTCTCTACTTCCTCAAGCACGTTTGTGCAGACCTTTAGGAGCTCTAACGAGGAATTGCATCTTGAGAAGGTTGTGAACGCTCTAATTGCTAGAGGAAGAGCAGTTTTCTTGATGAAGAGAACCATGTCAATGGCCTTTAGTTGGACTAGTGGAGGCTCGGATCTGAATCCAAAGACGAGGAATGCAGATGCCCAGAAGTGGTCTGAATTCACCGATGGGTTTCCAGTTTTCCTTACACCTTGAACCATTGCCTTGGCAGTGAGTAAACCATCTCTTCTCTTGCCAAATATTTGGGTTATGTGGTGGAATTGGATCCAGCAACCCGGCTGTCTATTAGCTCTTCGTGCTAAACCCAGTTTAACTAAGAGAAGGGCTGAATCTTCTTCGCTCTTCCATGTTTGGTTTGACAAACAACAACCAGAGCAACAACAGAGAGCTAGACTGACGCACTTGGTCCACTTGCTGAACCGATTTTTTCTGGCAGGTATACTTTTAGCAGCCGCTGCTAGCAAACTCGCTGAAATGGGTGATGGGGCAAACCAAGCCCCAACAAGAAGCATTCTCGAGGCAAAGACATTCCTTCTACCGTTGATTTGCTGCAAAATGGCATTGCAAAAGTCCAGGACTTTCATTAGGAAAGGATTGCTTCTGCAGAATTGTTCATCAGTAATGCTCAAATTAGAGCTAGTAGAAGAAGCTTCCTCAAGTGGGATCTGGTTTACGGCTTCAAAGAGAGCAGATGGCAAAATGGCGAGTTCAGAAAGTAGTGAACTGATCACCCACAGACCGAAACTTGACCTGCCCAATTGCTCATCAAATTTTCCAAGAAATTCTACTTCCTCCGCTGGGTAGTCTTTCTTCCGTCTTCCTCTGATCAAAAGCATTGCATCAGGCAAAGACAATGGTTGAAGCTGCATTGGATCGAAGTTCATGACTCTTGAGAGCCTGGTTGTGACAATTACATGAGACCCTCCAGTGTTTCTTGGTATTAGGTCATGTAGATCTTTACCTTCCCACCATTCCTTCTCAGTCTCTAGATTGTCGATTATTACTAAATAAGGCATGTCTCGAAACAGTTCCCTCTTCACTCTCTTGAACGCTTCTGCTTCCTGCTCCTCAAAGCTTCGAATTCGCCCTCTTTCCTTCTCCACATCAGCACTCACATCCAACCCTAAATTGATGGACAAATTCAATATGTTCTGCCTGAAATACCGAGCTTCACCACCTACCCATAAAACCATCTTGTATCTATGTGCATACTTGTAAGCAAACTCTAATGCAAGCTCTGTCTTCCCAACACCTGCATTTCCACTTATGCACACAACACTGCTGCCAAAGCTCTTGTATTTCCCACTTTTCGACTTTTTGTATTTAGGCCTCTTCAGTGAATTCCTTCCAATGACTGGTTCGACCCAAGCCTCTAATTTCGGTTCCTTGCACTTCCCCATCTCCAAATTTATAAATCTCCCTCCTTTACTGGAATCAATTTCACTTTCCCCATCTGCAAGTCCTCCTTCAGATTGCCCTGGTGTTCCTCCTCTAATGGTTGGCATACAACATTCTTGCTCGAGATAGTCGCCACACCCGAAGAACGCAGTTTCAATCTCCATCATCTCCTTCTCTCTCCCCACGAAAAATCTGTTTTTGGGAAATGGTAACTCCTCTAATCCTTCAACCTCCATCTCAGAAACACTCTTCCTTCCAAGTTTTCCCTTCAAAATCCCAGCAGCTCTTGATACACAGCTTCTCCAATTACCCTCATTTGTTTCCAGCTTAAATTCATGAGACCTCATTAGTCCATCCACTGCTTCCTTGTATTCTTTATCATCCGAATTGCGGTTGTGTAGGCCCATTATCTCACTAGGATCAGTGTCAAAGAACAGTGGGATTAAATTCTTCTTTTGAGCAAAGAATCTGATCTCTTCCAAGCTGAGATGGTTTAGAAGGCTGTAACTAGTGACAACCACAACACCAAATGTCACAGAGCAAATAACACGGTCAGCAATCTCGTGGCTCTGTGTGTCCGAGTACTTGGCCCTGTCTGCGATATAGCAAGCGATCCCTTGGAGCTCGAGCTCCGATTTAAGCCACTTACAGAAGCGAACCAAATTGGGGTTCTGACCATGGAAGCCTATGTACACATCACAGCTCCTTAGTTTAGCATTGGATGTGGGCGAAACAGGCCCTTTTGCAAAGGAAATTCGAGGGACTGGGAATGAAAATGAGATACGAGGACCGGTGTCAGTACCTGGAACTGGTACACAGGTGACAATTTTGAGCTTTTGATTGGTTGGATCATCAGAAAAGTCGTATTGCTCCGGTGGGGGAGTGTAGGAGGTGCTTGGGATGTCATCAGATTGGGACCCACAGTACGACACCGGTGGTGAAGGGTGGGTGAGTGGTGGTGTTGGAGCTGGGTTTTCTTGAGGATTTGGGACAATAGTGGCTCTAGGAGATATATATGGGGACTGTAGAGCTGAAACAAATGCTGATGATGGAGGAGAGATGAGAGGAGAGCTGTATGGAGATGAAACAACTGAAGTTGCAGAAACAATGGTGTTTAGAACTTTCTCACCTCCTATCTTGATGGTGAGGGACTTGGTATTATCAATGGCTGGGATTTCCTGAAGAAGTTCACCAGGGATTGGTGCTGCTTCATCCATTTTCACACACTAGATATTTTTGTTTTCAAGAAAATCAAGAAAAGATTTATGAGTTACTACCAGGATGGATATGTAGAGCTCATTTTATTAGTTTGATTCATTGATGTCAAATTCTTGGAAGTTCATGAAATAAAATCTATGTTGAGAGATGAAAATTGATTGTGTGGCTGTGACTGAAGACTCTGCAGAAGATGAATGCAACAGTGAGAGACATTTTGAACAGGAAGAAGAGATCTACATCTGATTTAACATTTCATCTTCTTCTATATGGTGGGACCTCTCAGTCTTTACTGTTCAGGAATGGATCAGACAGACACAGCATAAATCAAGACTGAAAGGTACAAAACTATTGGAAAGAAGAGAAGGAAATATATTTTATTTTCTTTGATCTATCATTATTAGAACAGAAGCAAAAGTGCCATGGATTGTTTAGAGACTCAATCATGAAACAACCCAAGAGGTAAAACAATAGTTATGCTAAAGAATCATATTCACTTTACCTGGTATTTTGTTTCATTGGAGCAAAGAAGCTTTGCTGCAACCCCAGAGAACCCTCTCTCTCTCTCTCTCTCTCTCTCTCATGAACATGGTGGACAGAGGTAGGAATCTAATGTATGGGTTGGATCTGCAGTGTTTTGAACATAAAATATTTAATATTGATGAATAAGTGCATAGAAAGATGTTGCAGAGGGTAAATGGTGTCATATTCTATGTTTATAATTTAAATCTTTTTGTCTTGGGCTTGGACTATTTCTTTTTGTTTTATGTGTTTGTGCAGTTTAATCTTTAAAATTGTAAACCAGTTTAAATCTAACTTGGGTGTTTCTCCCTCCTCACAGAAGCCAAAGATTGGTCAGAAAGAACCCAGAAAAGGGGCATTGGGAGAGCAACCATAGACTCAAACCTTACCAGACAGACAACATTGACGCGGTATTTTTTTTGTCCCTAAATCTTTTTTTTATTTGAATGTATTCTTATTAAGTATTGAATTATATCTCAAAATTAATAAGTGTTTTGAGATTCTTATATAATTCACTAAATTTTTTATTATATGACTAAAAACACTCAGTACTATTAATAGTTGAGCAACTTACCGTACTTGGCTTGCATTTATTTAAATTTTTAATAAGTGTGTTTGTGTAAAAACAAAAAATCATTGACTGATAACAATATGTAGGTCATGTTTGGCTGATTTAAAAAAGTACATTTATTTTATTTTTTTATCTTTTTTGAGTCATATCAATCAACATCTCCTCTCTATTTTTTCTACACATAATACAAAAAAAGTCAAAAAGTGCGCTTATTTAGTCTTCCCAAACTTGACCCGGCTTATAGAAGAGTGATGGAAGCATTGGGTTAGCATTAGAATTGGGTGAAAAATGTTTTGAAATTTATAAAAATATTTGAAAATAAATTAACATTTATAATAAATATATCAAAAAATTTATGAAGCATATTTGTTCTTTATTTGTGCAACTTGTTGGCAATCCTTAGAATAAAACAAGGAAAATGTTTGGTAGTCATGGCTCAAATGGTCTGAAAATGTCAACTCGTTTTGACATTTTCAGTGTTATTTTGTATCCAAAATAATGTCATTTTGACATTTTCAAATCATTTAAATTACAAAATTTGTGACTACCAATCATTACCGATAAAACAAACTCAATTTATTATATATGACATTGCAAAGCCAGGGTTCTCTCTGTATGTGTACTCACCTAACTGACACATAGCCGTGACTATTTGCACTGGAAATTGGACCAAAGACCAGTCCAACTGTGACCAACTGACCCATCCTTTAATTATTGATCATCTTCAATAACATTAAACAAAATTAAAAAATAATAAATAAATAAAACACTTGTCTCATAAATGCCCAGGTGTGAAGAAGCATATGCCCATCCCTTCTTTCTCATCTTATGATTTCATAGCTTTAAAGGCCCTGTTTGGCACCGACTAAATAGCTTCCCTTTTTTTTTTTTTTTTTTTTTTTGGGGAGGGTGTGTGTGTTTGTTTTTTTATAGCAAAAGAGGCACGTTAACTTTAGTGTTGGACTGTGTGGGTCATTTGTCTTTTTCTCATGAAAAAAAGTAAAAATGGCTATAGTAAACCTGACCATGAAGTCTTGATTGGAGAGGGATGTGTTGTTCTGAGAATTTATATAGTCCTATATATCTATTTGATTGTACTTTTTTTTTTTTTTTTTTTTTTTTGGGGAGGGTGTGTGTGTTTGTTTTTTTATAGCAAAAGAGGCACGTTAACTTTAGTGTTGGACTGTGTGGGTCATTTGTCTTTTTCTCATGAAAAAAGTAAAAATGGCTATAGTTAGCCTGACCATGAAGTCTTGATTGGAGAGGGATGAGTTGTTCTGAGAATTTATATAGTCCTATATATCTATTTGATTGTATTTTTGTTTTCATTTTTGTTGTTCTTCTAAAAAATTTGAAAATTTTGTTCGTCTTAATTGTTGAGAGTGGTGGCTGGTGACGGTGGTTAGAGGGGTTGCCAATGGATGAAGGATGGAAGTGAGGAAATAATGAAAATTTATTTTTAAAAGAAGTGAAATTAATTTCTCCATTTCATTTTTATATATTAATTTACTAAAATTTATTAAATTGTGGAAAATGCCATCTAGTTGTTTATTAGTTTTATATAATCATATTCATCGCTGATACATCCTTAACAGTTCAGCACGGACCCAACAAACCACATTGGCTGCGTAAGCAATTTATAATTGAACTAATAATTCCATGTTGCATATAATCTTAAAGAATCTCTTACTTTTTTCCTTTTTTATATATATATATATATATATATTTAATATAATTTTCTAAGATGGTATAGAGCTGAAAAAAAAAAAACTGACTCATAATATGTGTCAAGCCAGGAAACAATTGCCCTTTGGTTCCCTCACTAATCAATCTTTTTCATATCCCTTTTTCACTTCTTTCCTTGTTTTTCAATCTAACTTTGTTTAATCTTCCTTATTACAAATACATTGCATACATATCTTGGCAAACATGTGCCTCGGGGACTTACAATTGAGTTCAAATGTTTTTAAAAATTCATTATTCTCAGTTAGTAAAAGCAAGTATAATTCAACCTCATGTCAATCTTATTCCCCAACCCCCCTCCCAAATTCTATCAAACCATCACCAATCATGAAAATTTTGATCAGACAAAAATTTTGAGTAAAAAATTCATTTGATATAAAGCACTCAAATAGTAACCTCAAAAATTTTATGCTTTGACTAAAAATTTCATTTCTTATGAAGCACTTTAGTAACTAATTCAAAATTTTACCTGAGTTTTTTTTAAGAAAGTGTTTGGTATAGGTTTGAGTTTGCTAAAAGGATCTCTTGATTTTGGGTAATAGAAAAAAGAGTAGAATTTAATTTTGAATAGGTTTGAGTTAAAGAGCAAAGATGAGTTTTGAATATTTTTTAGTCAAACTTAAATTTGTGTCAAAATTTGAGAGTATAGATTAGAATTATTTTTAGTGTGTGTTTGAATCTTATATTTATAAATTCATTTGTGGTGAAAGAAAAAGAATTTTATAGTGGATGGAGAGTTTAATAACTTTTGTGTAAGTAGAGGAAAAGGTCCATTGAACATCTTTTATTTTATTTTATTTTATTTATTTTAATTGTCTAAAAGCAAATACATATTTAATTACACTTGTAGAATCTCCATTTTAAGTGCAGTATCATTTGCAGAGGTATAAAAGCTTTGAACCCATCAACTTCATTTCAAATTAAACTAAAAATTAAAATTAAAATAGTGGAGGAGTCTAAAGTTCCACCATTATTATTTATATTTTAAGTGAGTTTGCTTCTTTGATTGTTGCATTATAACAAGCACTTGACAGACAACCACTTGGGAGTTTATTCCGCTTTGCATGTGCATTATATGTGTTCTCTGATCTTATGCTACGCTGACACGTGCCAAATCTAATAAAATAATAATATTTTTTGCCGGCAAATTTAATAATAACACTATAGATAAGGTGAACACTTAGATCCAATAGTTATTCAGATTGATTATCAAATTTAAATTTGATGAAAAAATATATATTTTTTTTGCTTTAACAGTTTCATCAAATAGGCATTAAATTTAGAATTTTCATTTTTTTTCATTAAATTGTGGACAAAATTTTCTTTTATCAAATCAGCATTCATTGTCATTGCCAGATGTCCCTCTGGATGTCCTCCTAAATGACCACATCAAAGTAAGAATTTGTGAAAATATTACACTGTACGGTCGACCGCCTGATCGACCCTTCGGATGACCACCCCAAGGAAAAAAACACAGAAAAATATACACTGGCTGGTTGACCGGCCGAACACTCGCTTGGCCTGGTCGATCAGTGGTTTGATGAAACTCCAAAACACTCCGTTGGAGTACTTGATATCAAACGAAACTTTTTACTCAAATTTGATGAATTTTTTGGTGCACTGTTGGAGATGATCTTACAAATAGCATTAGGATAATTAAAAAAAAATTGTAGCATTAATGGCAAAAATTAAATTTTAACTTAATGTAGTGTTAAAATATTGTAATTTAGTGATTATGCTTCAATTTTTTATTTTTAATTTTTCCTTCTCACGAAATGTTAAATGAAAAGTTTCTTGGTTTGGAATTTGATAAAAATGATACCAGACTATCAACAATGGTTTTTTATGAAGTCTTGCAAAATTTTGAATTCATCACTGTAGATGATCTTTTTAATTATTATTATTATTGTTATTTTTGAATTCATATTTAAAAAAAAAGAAGAAGAAGAAGAAGAAGAAGAAGAAAAGCTCGGACTAATTTTAGTTTCATTTCGTCCCTTAAGACACTATAAATGGTGTACAAATTTGGATTTATTTTTGTTATCCTAACAATCATGGCTGAAATTAGCAAATCCAGCCCAAATATGACTACTATAAGAAAGCCAGTGGATGCACACGCTGTAAATCCAGCCCAAATATATACCCAATATAAGGAAGCTAGTGGGTGCAGAGGCTGTAAATCCAGCCCAAACGTTAATAAAAAAAATTGAAACAACATGACCAAAAAAAAAAAAAAAATAAAAAAAAAATCCTAAAATGCAAATCATACTTTAAGGCCAAGCACCAAAAGATTCACATTTTTCTTGCCCCTCTATATTTATATATAATTTTATAAAATAATAAAAAAATGTCAAAAAAGATTTAACATTTTTTTTTCATCTCTAACTCTTATCACTCATTAATTATTGATTCTCATAAATCGTCATATCTCTATCATTAATAATATTACTCATAGGGATAGAATTCAGATGTGCATTGTTTCAAATGTCACAAAATAATGCCCTTTTAGAACCCTAAAAAGAAAAGAAAAGAAAAGAGAGAGACTTTTTTCTCTACTATACTCTCCCAAAATAAGTTGTTTTGAAACAGTACAAGATGGGATTTAGATCCACAATGATGATACATTGTTGTGCTTCTTAGTGCACCACCTTCCCATCTTTGTCATTTAGTACTAAGCCTTTATTTGAAAAGTGGGTTGACTTTTGATAATTTTAACTTAGAGATTAAAAATTCTTGTTTGGGATTGACTTTTTAACTTTTTTAACTTTTGTGAGAGAAAAAATAAAATAATTATGATTTGGATGTGATATTTTGTTTTATTATCCTTTTAACTTATTTTATTTTTTTTGTGACTAAAATAATCCCAAAATGCTATGCCAAACATAGCCTAAGGATGATAATATTGTCATCAAGGAAGAAGGCATCATTTGAACAAGGCAAAGGAGGCAGACACCACCGCCAAACCACTTGGCAAGCTGATAAAAATGACGATTTTTTGGTTTTTTTTAGTCACGTTACCTCTTTATTTTTTAAACAAAAATAAAAAAGTCACAACAAAATAAAAAAAAATTAAAAGATTGACTTTTTACCAACTTCTCAAAACACCGCTTACTTCTTGTGAACATTTTCCACCCTTGTCCCCCTCTCTATGCTTTTTGCATCTCTTTTTGCACAACCAAAAAATAAAAAATAAAAAAAATATTTGAAGTTTAGAATGACTTTTTCTTTCCCACCACATACATAATCTACATTGGCAGTTCGAAGACACGTTGAGTGTGCAGTTATAAAAAAAGAAGAAGATAATATTATAAGAATAATGATGAAGATAAATATACATATAGTATGTGTTATTCAAATAGTAAATATTTTTGTTAACATACTTATGATTTTGATTTTCAATTTTATCGTTCTCTTAATATAATTTTGACAAAATTATAAGTACACTCCCTGAAATTTACTTAAAATACAGATTGTCCTATATAATTTGAAAATATTACAAATACCTCCTTGTTAAAAATTTATATTTATCAGAATTAACTAAAAGAAGAAATTTATAATTGTTCTCCTATACAATAATAAAATTACCTAAATTATTAATTGAAACATATTTATAATATCATTAAAAACTATTAATTGACTTGATAATTTATTAATAAAATAGGTGATTTGTTATGAAATTAGAAACCTTAAGCGGTAGAACGTAATTTACAGAACTACAAAGACGATTTATATTTTAATCAAACCTCGGGAGATGTATTTATAATTTATCATATAATTTTTACATAAGCACTAACTATAGAAACATTTTGAAAAAATTCGAAATATAAGACCTCAACAAACACTATGAGGAGTCTTTACATATATAATAGCATAGATAATTTATGTTTATAAATATAATTAGATTAATATATTACCCGTCACATTCTGTTTTCATTTGGCTTGGTGCATTCATTTTGTGCGTATATCGATAATTCAAATCATTCTCTTGATAAAACTTGATAAGTAAAATATTTATATAAAAATTAAGATAATTAAATATAGATAAATATATATATTTGAATCACATTTGTTTAAAAAAATAAATGGCAAATATAATTTTAAGAATAGTTATAAATTTTTTATAATACAAATGTGATTCAAATATATAATTATTGAGTGATCATTTTAATTTTTTACATAAATATTCTATTTAACAAAATTAGGCTTTGTTTGGCTATGTGGATTCGGTTGGGTTGGGACTAAACTAGTCACTAAGGTCTTGTTTATCAATTATATATTTTAGTCAAAAAGTTAAAAAATCACTATAAGTTATCACATCAATTTCTTTACTTTTTTTTTATATATTTTTTCATAAAAAGCAAAAAAATTACTAAAACCACATACTCCCAAACAAGGCCAAAAGACAAAATAAATTAAAAAGTTAATAAAATAAAATGTTATATTCAAATCATAATTATTTCATTTTTTTAGCTTATAAAAGTAAAAAAAAAATTAAAAAAATCAATTCAAACGAATTTTTTAATCTTTAACTAAAAAAATTCCAACTCTAAAAAATCAATTAATTTTTTTTTTTTGGGTGCCAAATGACAACTTAAATGACCAACTTACAAAAATCTAAATATTTTTAGATAAAATACAAAAACATAAGAAAAATCATGGTAGACCCTTGAAAATTTTTGTAGAGATAAGATAAGTAGTTTTCCTATCGCTTTCTCAGCAATTCCCGACCTGGTCAGTTGTCACACGTCACGTGCGTTCCAATTGTCCAATCGCTACTGGCTGGCTTTCTTGTTATGTAGGCCCAGCACCCTCCACATGACGTGACGTGGCTCATCTTCTCTCCAAGTTCCACCCAATTTATAATTTATAATTCGATGATATCATATGCACTATATTAATATATTATTAATTTTATTCATTATATAAATTATAAATATAATTTTTTTAAAATTATATCACACAATTAATTAATTAATAAATTAATATTTTAATGATTCAATACAACATTATCTTTTATAATTTGTGAGTGGCCTATATAATAACACTCCAAATTCAACACAATACTAGAGTTTTCATTCCATTTATTTCATCTCCTCTTCGTCCACCCAAAAACAGATCACTTCCTTCTTTCATTTATGGCGAAAAAGGTACGTTATTTACTATTCATTTCGCTTTAATCTTTACGCTCGATTTTGTTTTTAATTCTCCTATTTGCCACACTTTTCCACTTTAAATTGTCGAAATTTTGAATTATTGAATTCAGTTTCAATTGATTTGGTGTAATTGATTTTGATCAGATTCTTTCTAGATTTGCCTCCCCCATGATGGTTGATCGTTCTCGATCTTGATCTGAATTCGGGGAGGCCTCAAAATCACATTCTTTAATGGATTTGGAAGGCGAGTGCTCTGTTCTTGAATCTGTTGAAGACAATGAAGTAATAATAAGCCTTGAAAGATTGGAACATGTTGGTGGAAACAAGATTCAAAATAATGGGTCTTGTGGTGGTGAACATCATGATGATGATGATGGGTTATTGGGTGATATGAAAACAGGGGTTATTAGGGTTACAGAGTCGGTTGTTTCATCTCCTTTGGCCGTTAATTCTCCGGCAGATTCTATAGGATCGTCGCCACAGGGAACAAAAAAAGGGTATGGATTGAAGAAATGGAGACGAATCAGGAGGGAATTTAGTAATGATGGGTGTAGTAATTTAGATACTAGAAAGATATTGAAGCGGGGTTTTTCAGCACCGGTTGCAAATTCAACTAGACATCAGGGTTTGTCTGTTGATATGAGGCGAAAGAGTGATGGGTCTGTATCGTCCACGAATGCAATGGTGAAAAGTCCTGGTGTTGCTGATGATGATTTTTCCTTAATCAGCTTGGATTCTAGGTTGGAAATTGGACCCAATTTTGCTGCCGGAACAGATTTGGAAAACAGTGAGGATCAGAGTAGCAAGTCTTCCACAGCGGCTAGTGTTCCAAAATCGAGTTATGAGAATAGGATGAGGAGTTTGAGTGGGAAGAATGTGGTTAATGTGGTTCAACGGAGTCAGAAAGGAAAGAATCAGATTGAGACTAGTAAGAAGCCTAGAGGAGAACGGGTCAAAATTGAGAAGGAAAACTCTTATTCCAGCATGGAATCTGACTCACGAAGCTCCAATTTTGTGTTTATGCAGGGCACCAATTCCGTGACTAGTAATGGGAGACAGAGTGGAAGGACAATGAATTACGATGGAGAAAACAGTGATGAAGCTCAGGGTGGTGAGGAACTTCGAACTGGTTACAGTGAAGAAAATGTTGGAGAATTCGAAGTTCTCTCTCAAGAAGATTTAGCTGCTGATTTGTCTTGGGAGGTTAAAGAAGAAAAAATTGAGAACCATAGGTCATCAACAGATCTAGATTCTCTAGTTGAGTCTATCTTCACATTGCAGTCTGCACAGGATGCACTGGAAAAAGGTGGGCATACCTTCCTCCATTGCTAGCTTTTAATATGTTTTGCTTTTGTTATTGGTTTATATGGAGCCATGGGTTTCATAATACTAATTGCTGCATTTCAATTACACAATCTCTAAAAAATGTGGATTTCTCTTGCCTTGCCATTTCTTTTGAATTGACATTGTCTATAACATTATAGTATATCTGTTGTGAAGGTCACATAATTTTGTTATTTTTGTTTCGAAACTTCTGTAGTTAAGGATGTTGAAGAATTATGGAAGCTTGGAGAATTAGTATTCTTTTTCAAAACACTTTGAGATCAAATATGCCAAAGTTCTAGTTTGATCATCATTTTATAGCTAGTTAGTTTAAAACATATGAAGGCATGTTGAGTTCTATATATGGGAACATGGATTATAATGGTGTTTATGCAAGTAGTATGAATAATTTTTAAAGTCTCAATATATATGTATCTGGAGTTTATTGCTGTAAACCTGCTGGATTTTTCAGAATAATGGTGTCAGAGAGCTATTTTGTTTTTTAGGACATGGGTTTCTGCTGCTCAACAATATTATCACACTACTGCATAGAAACCGTACCGAAAATATAATAAATAGCTCTAGAAAATCGGGCCACCCAGATTCCCTTGCGGACAAAGGAATGGCATGATTGGCCTTTTAGTCTGGATCTCAACCGTCCGTAAAAAGAAAGGGCACACAAATGCACAATGACAACAGAACTCAATCATCCGGGGGGGTGGGGGTGACTGAGGAACTCACATGCAAAACACGAGGGCCTAGCACACATTGATTAGAATATATATTAAGATTTACTCCTTTTACTTTGTTTTTGCTGTGGAATTTGATTAATTCACACATGCTCCAACGATATAGAACCTCTTGGAAATGTAGTCGGTGGGTGTGTGATGCTACTAGAAAACATTATTATTTTTCACCACTATTGTTATTATCGTCACCAAGTGATTTTTTTTTATGGTGATTTTGGAGTTGGGGTTGACTAGGGACGTAAAATTTTTATTTTATTTTATTTTGGTACTGCCATTTGTTTTTCCTATTTGAACCACTGAAAGGTGTTGGGATGGTCTGCTCTGCTCTACCACTCTTTGGGATTCTAAAAAGTTCATGAAAAATAGTTCAAGAATCCCCTTAATTCTGATCTATTACTCTCCAATACTGTGTTCAAACCTGGGCTATTTGTCACTGCACCCACTCTCCATCAAGAACCACCATTCCGCAGACACATGGATTTTTCATTGAGAGCCACCTTATCATGTGCATGTGTATTTTTCTTGAACCATCGAGAGTCGGGAGTTATCCATGAATTTTATAGTTCCATCGAGAGTTACTTTAGCAGCCAACCAACATCGGTGTTCATAGCCTGAAGAATCCACCCATATATTGTCCGCCACCGTCTTTGATACGAATTGTTGGGACTATTGGGGGAGTCAAATAATGTAACACCAACACATTTTTTTAAACTCTTACCTGCCTGAAAGGTTAAGCCTGTAAGTGGTGAGTATTTTTTGAGGTAAAATTCCTCAATTTTGTTTGTCAAAGAAGGGGTGTGGTGGTGGGGGGGTATTATAGTTATTTTGTTGAGGTGCCGAATTTGCACTGCAATAGTTGATGGAAATGTCATAAGCTGAGAATATATGATGTTTTTGTTTAGGTGCCGAACTTTCTTAAATAAGATATGCAACTAATAGAGCTATTATGGTTGCAGAAATTCAGAAACTGAAGGAGATGGGGAATGGGAATGAAGAAATTCCACTTTTTGACCGTTCAGCCCAGGGGAATAGTTTACCTTCAGAGTTAGCTTCAGAGGATCCAACAACCCATGAAGCAAGCTCATCTGACCTGTTGCACTCTGGAGGGATCACACAAATTGCTTTTTATTTCTTGGAAACACAGGTGATAAGCTTAAAACGGAACGTAAATCTCTTGGAAAGCAAGTTTGAAGAGGCAAATGCTGTGCTCAAAGCTAAGGAAGCCAAGGTAATTGAACTTGAATATGCTCTGAAGATTAACGGGTCACCAAAGGAAGAAATGTCGAGCACCTTCGAGTCACAACAGAAAAAATATAGAGAGATGGAGGCTGAGCTTGAGGGTCTTTTCAAGCAAAAAATTGAAGCCGAGGTCGAGTATCTGGTAATATCAAGAACAATTCAAAAGTTGAGAGTCGCTACAGTGGATCAAGTTGCACTCTTTGAAGAACAAAAAACTCAAGTTCAGATGTTTAACGAGCTTGGTGATGCAGAAAGTAAGGCTGGAATGCTGAAGCGACGAGCTGATAAGTTGGAGACCACCTATTGTGAAGATATTGTAGCGACTGATCAAGTTTTGAAGCTGCAAAAAAGGGTATGTAAAGTTACTTCGTGTTTTTTCATACAGTTGATACTGTTGTTTGTAGTCTCCACGTTGTTTTTCTTGCAGTTACCTCCCCATTATGTAGGGGTTATACCCACCTGATTTTGAGAGCGGTTAGTTTTTCTTTTTTGTATTATTCCATCTCTCAAGGCAAATGTTTGAATGTTACATTTAGTTTGTTTTAGAAGTTGATAGATAGATCAGACACACCAGTTGCATATCTATGTTTATTAATTTGTTATAATTCATTATAGTTTATGATTTTTGTTGTGTGAATGTGTAGCAGTTACTGTTTACACCATAAGGATAGAATTTGAACTGGTGAATGATTCTGACTGAATTGAAAAAGAAAAAATTGAATTGCAGGTTGCAAGTCTAGTACTCTTGTCTAAAGAAATAGGAAAGAAAAAGAGTCGTTTTGTAGGAATGCTACCCTATTTTTTTCGCTCGATTTTACTCATTACCAATCAATAGCTAGATTTTCTCTAAATCCAAATCCACGGATTGATTAGGGCATGGTGCCCCAAAATCAGCACTAGGGCACACCATAGAAAGTGTTGGTGTGGGGTTAGAGCTGCTTTGTTCAACTAGAAGATAATGTGAAATTTTCACTTTCCCTCGTAATTTCCATTATCTATTATCTTCATGGTTTTATAAAAATTGATATATTTTTTCAATATTGGAATAAGCTTTGAGAGGAGGGTCCCACCACTTTATATTAGTATTTTTATGCGAATGAGGAATAATGATATAGGAGTTTTTTTGGTGGTACACTTGACTGAGTCTGGACTAACAAGTCCAACCACCATATGAACCTCATATTGGAAGGATAAGTAAATTCCAATGCCTTCCATTCCCTCTTCTGGTGGTAAAGGCTCTCTAGTATCTAGGTTTTATGCAGATAGTAATGATAGGAAAATTTATGTGATGATTTATTCTAATTATAAACTGTCATATAATAGTTAAATTTGAATTGCATATTAAGTTTTTAGATATATCTTCGAGGTTGGAGTTTGAAATCCTTGATTAATTTTGGTAGAATATGTGCTTAATTGAAAAAAGTAGAATGATATTCAAATTAATAAAATGGCAAAGACATGATAGACCGAATTCATGTTAGCCACAAAGTGCACCATAACATGATAACACAAAGAGATGGTTTTTTCTTGAGAAAATAATATCACAGTGGACCAGACAGAAAATTTCTTTTATAAATTAATAATAAAGTTTATATATTTTAATAATTAAAATGTCTACTTTTTTTCATGATTTTATATATATTTTTTTACTATACTAGTCTGTTGTTATTTGTCCTTTTTTCTTCTGTGTCTCCTTGACGGAAAAAGCAACTCCCACCACCACCAACGCCACCAATCTCTCTTTCATATCCATAATGAATCATGTGTTGGGTTGTGACATGTGAGTACGAGGAAGTCATGATTGGAATGGCTTTGTCCTCAAGATTTTTATCCAGAATAATAAATTTATAATTTTTTTAAAAAATTTATATAACATTCATTATATCATTGAAGTGGATTTTATTTTCCACTAGTATTAGTTAATAAAAAAAATATAAAATTTATTAATTTATATATTATTTTCTCTCTTGCTCTCAACTTCTTAGTCCACTTCTATCTAGATGATGATGTAGGAAAATCTGGATTGAGATTGTATTAGTATAAGAGAACATAAATTTCAAAAACATAAAATTTTATGAATATTCAAGAAAAAGCAAGGCCCAAGGAAAATTATGAAGTGGTTTAAAAATTTTAGTGTGAACATATGCCCGTTGAGTTTTTTTTTTTGGTTGAACTCCAGAGAATTTGAGAGATTTGTAGACTTTACTGTTAGATTTATTTCAACCGTTTATTTTGTAGAATTTTTTGTATATATTATTCATTAAAAAAAATTAAGTTGATTCAATAATAATAATATTTTTATCTATATTTGTCTAAAAAAATAATTAATTAATTTTTACCAAAAATCATGTCAAATTGTCCATTTTTACCAAATGTCATCTTTGATCACTATCTCTTATTGAAAATTACCTTTAACAACCAATATTGACAACTTACCTTCTATTATATCATCTCTAATTATCTCTTTTTACTAATTTTCGAAATAAATTAGAAAACATAATTTTTATTTATATTTAATTTTTTGTTTAACATATTTAATATTTTTTTAAAATAAAAAAAGTATGCCCTAAACCATGCCAAAATAATTTCTCAGAGGCCGGGGCCCATCTATTGCATCAGGAGGAGGACCAGACAGATTTCCCAAAAGTCGCCAACTACCGATTCCAACTGACTATCTGTAACGGTAGTTACAACTTGCGCGCCACGTCAGAAAAAAGTACAATAAATGAGTCTTATAAAAGGTTGTAGTAATAAGGTTCTATTTTCCTTAAAAATTGTATTTTTAATAAAGCTCAAGAATCTACCAGTGACGAATGATGATCTCATTTACACATAAGGATGATGTCATTTACATCCTATATTTAAAGTAAGAAAATGCTTGATGATCCGAATTTACGTGGCTCGAATGATTCGAATGTGTCAAAATGACGTCGTTTTACACCCAAAATAATATCGTTTTAAGATATTTAAGCCATTCAAGTTATGGAAATTTAGGTCACCTAACATTATAGTTTAAAGTAGAAACCCAATTTATTTGGAAATTAAAATAATAAAAATTCAATTATAAAACAATATTCGAGATCTTCCATTTACCTTAAAGATTTTTTTTTTCCCTTCTAAATTTCACATTTTTTTGTTCTCAGATGAAATAAAGATGTAGAAATTCCAGTAGTTCAAAATAATTTACAAAATTTTTTGATTGCATATGCTTGCATTTTTTCATCAGGAATTCTAGAATTGCTCACAAATTATTGTATAAATAATATTTGCAAACCCAAGTTTTCTATCCAAGAAAATCCATATTAACACTTCATTCGTTTTGGAAGAAAGATTTGTTATATTTTTTACATTTACGCTGTGTTTGGTTGGAGGATTTGAGGAGGGATTTGGAAAGGGAAAGGAAAAAGTTAGGTGAAATGTGAATAAAATGTACCTACATTTCACACACCTTTTCTCTTTCCTTTTCCAAATCCCTCTCCAAATCCCCCAACCAAACACAGTATTAATGAGTTGATTTGTGAAGAAAACGTTGTTTATTTTTTAAATGTCAAATTTAAATTTATTTTACGATTTGTTTTCTGGTCATTTTTTTTATATAACTTTTTGTGGGTGTAATTTTTTCAAAATAACTAAAAAGTGAAAAAAAAAATTAAAAAAAGACGGCTTTAGATAATAATAAATATTAAATAATGGATGTTGACTTAGCTATTATGTCAAAATAAATAAAATGGTCCTATTGAGTTCAATAGGGGGAACCAATCCTTGATTCATATAAAAACTAATCCCAATTTGTCAAACATAGTAGGGCATGGTACTGCTAAAGGCATCACCACCTTTTAATGGATATCCTTTGAAAGCTGAAATATTACATAGCCTTCAAAGCATTACGTGTTGATGTGCTCATTTAATGATTTTTGTAATTTCTTAATTATATTTATTTATTTATTTTAATTATATAAACATTTAGTTCTTATTATTGACTAGGTATAGTATTACGAATATTGAATAATTACTCTTTTGAAAGAGCTTGCCATGATTTTCACAACTAAGAATGAGATTACAATTAAATTTCTTTGACACAAGTTAGGTAAATTCAATCTCAATTCAGACCGAGTAAATTGAGCTCAAGCTTAGTTAATTTACCAAATGCATGAATTCCAATTAATTTTTTGGATCGTTTAGTGATCAAATACAGCTTGAATAGACCCAAACTCAGTTTTTTGTTTTTTTGGATGATTTCATGAGATAAAAATTCCGGAGCCACAAATGGTACGATAACAAGCGTAACAAATTATATATTTTGAGGCTCATTAGAGTATTATAACAGGGGGTTTTTTTTAATTAGAAAAAGAAAGACAGAAAGTGTTTTTTGGGTAATGTAAATTTTGATGAGATGATAAATGGGTCAACAAAAGAAAGACAAATTACAATGAAATAAATGATTTACAAATTGATTAAGAAAGTGAGCAACACTAGGTATAGTATTGTTCTTACTTTCTTCGAAGGTGTTAGTCAACTGAAAATTTAACTGGATCGTGTGATTATAAGGAAAACTTTTCGAAACCACCACAACATACATATGTTCAAAGTGGGGTGGGGAGCGGATGTTTCGATTCGTTTAAATTGATCGAATTGAATCAATTTGTCGCATTTTGGATGTATGTGTGATGACGAGTGAATAGTTGTGGATTAATTTTTTCCAATCCGCCTAGTTTTGGCAAGATAACGGATTTGAAGTTCATTTGGCCGCAACCAAACTGTCAAATCGCGAGCATCCCTAGTAATTTGTAAGATTTTATGTTTTCAATTTATTTAGATATTCTATTTGTATTTTCAATTGAAAAATAGTTTAGATATTCTATTGTGTTTTCAATTTGTTTTCAATTTGGAAATCCTTTTATCAAATGGCAAGTGTTGATATTTGGTATTTTTGTGTAGAAAATATAAGGTTTAATTTTGTCATTTTAAAAAAAAATCAAATTAAATAATTTTTGAATAAAAAAAATTAATAAAATAGTTTTGATAATGCATAGTTTTCTTATATATATTTATTATTGGTATTTGGAAATTTAATTGATAATCTTTTAGTTATGTTGGGTTGGATTGTTAGCCCAAAAAAAAATGTTGACAAGTTGTATTATGTTCAAAATTTATAAAAGTTTAAACCATCAAACTAATTCGCATCCATCTGATAATCCATCAATTCGCATCCGTCAATCTGGCAAACGGATGCGAATTGATTTTTTTCAATCTGCCAATCTGGTAGATAGATGATGGATTGGACGTTTTTCGAAAGCAATCGAACTGCCAACACTCTTAGTTCAAAGCATTGTCAAATATACTTCTTGTTTTTTTTTTGGTGGCATTTTTAGAGAAAATAAGCAAACTTGGAATGGAATAATATAAACAATTTAAAATGAAATACTACTTAATTTTCGATCATATGACTATTTACTTATGTCCAATTACCTTAATTTCGAATAGATATATGATCTACTCAAAAAACTCTATAAAATTAACGGTTTGAATTATGGAGGTAAACTCAGAATAGGGCCTCACCAAAGGAAAATAATAAATACCTATAAAAAAATTTATTTGTTAGTACCCCACAGAATTTACTTCTAAATTCTAATCACTAAAATTTACTTATTTAAATAGAAAAAAATCATTAAATTAAAAAAAATAAAAATGGCCTTGTGACTTCCTAGTTTAGCAAATTTCAATTTATATTAAGAAAAGCCTAATATATATATATATATATATATCAAAGACACCTAACAAAATATAAAGCTCATTCATTGAACAATCAAATTATACTCCTTGAATATTGATTCTAGCTCTTAACAGTGACACCAAGTTTATATGATTTGGGATCCTGTTTTTTGGTTTTCCTCTCGAAATCTGGAGGCCCAATGGCCTCTCATCAAGGCTAGAACTACCTTCAATTTTCATTGACATATGTGGTTTGTGAGTGATTATAATTATCCGAGATTCTACTACAGTGAGTCTAATGCAACGTGTCTTGGAAAAAGCTTCATGTAAATATATATATATATATTGGTATTGGGCTTGACTAGTGCAATGCAAACTAAAAAAAATGATGCGATCTATGACAATCAAGGACACTGCTATCATAAAAAATATTGTATAGTTAGTTGATATTAAATGACATATATATATATGTATATATATATATATGGAGATTTCAGATTACAAGAATGTAAAAGCATAAGACTGATAAAAGTTAAGTGGCAACAGACTATCTCAGTGATCTGGAACTAGTTGGAAGTCAAGCAAATTGGCTTCAGACTAAGAAAAGTGATCTGTAAAGCCAAAAATAATTCCATACAACAAAGCTAAGGGATCAGGGGGAAAAAAAATTTAAAATTTTATCCAGAGTATTAATGTATAATCGAGATTCAGTCTTGAAAAGTAAGCATACATCTAAAATAATCTCAACCAAAATCTCAACCATCCGTTGAATTTTCTGTGCAAAATTCCAAGTTTGTGAAATTGTAGTGATTCGTATGTGTAAAGAGTGGCTTTCATTTGGTCACGAGAATGAGTAAAGAAAACAGTTGGAGGTTTCCTTTTTTCACATCAACAATAAGAAGAATGTGTTGTGTTGAGTTTGGGTGTTTTGATTGCTGCTGATGTGATGATATCTGCTATGCTTCATCTGGTATGGGTAGGGTGTTTTGTCTCAGGTATGTGTTAGTCTATTTTGCTGCTCTGTCCTGCTCAGCTCTGTTGACTGGTTCAGCTATCAGCAGAATTGGTATGCTCAGCTCTGTGGTGTTTTGGTCCTTTTTTTTGCCATTCTCGTTGGTTTCTTGCCACTTTGGGGTGCTAGTAAATGATAGGATGAGCTTCTTAGTGCCAACCTAGTTGAGATTATTTAGATTATTGTGATGCTCTTGCATTTCCCTTTTCTTTATTGATGTATTATGTTTCATACCTTGTGCTTCATCCTTATATCAATAAAGTCCCTTTTTTGCCGATAAAAAAAAAAAAAAAAAGAATAATGTGTTTGTACTACTTCTTACATGTTGCCCTACTACTCCTTATAAGAACACTACTACAATAACTACTCTGCCAGTTTTGTGCAGTTTTTCTAACTTCAATAAAGAGGAAACTGAGGGACAGTGAAAAAAATATACATGAAGTACATAGAAGAGACATAGAGTAAGGACTAAACACACGATTATAGCAGAGAGACTTGTCATGTATAGATAAGTATCGTGGCATAAAAGAACGTTAGAAATTGTGAAACATTTAACCAAAATTGGTGAGGTACGAAAAACATAAAAGAACAATAAATAAGAATTATAAATCATACGCGCACACAAAATACAAATTACATGATTCACCTAAAAACTAAAGCTATATGCATAGTCTTCCACCATCATCGGAAAGATTTACAAATAAAATAAACAGATAGTCGCTCCCTCCTCTACTACATCTATAAGGATTGCATGTCACAAGTATAAAAATATCAAAATATTTTTTTTTGTCAAAATTTGGGTCAAAGAGCAATCTCCCGAGCCTACCCCAATTTAAATCAACAGTCGAGTGATCAATGTTTAATACTTATTAGAATCCAAACTACTCAACAATAACAAAAGAGCTCCCAATAGTGGACCTCACAATGAATTAGGCTTGAAGACTTGGGGAGGCAAGATGAGGTTTTGTAAGTTTTTCTTCTTCTGACTTGGTCGTAAGTCAAGAAGTGTAGAGACTGCACTTGAACTAGACAAAAACCTGAAAACCAACAATTTTTCATTTCTAACCCAACAAAATATTATTAAAAAAAAAAACAAGAAAGACTCAGTAAGCAGTTCATATAATTATTTGTTTTAATGTTACCTATGATTTCTTGAACTTCCAATTCTTTCTCCATCATATAATAATGAGCTTTTGAAGATAATTCTATATCCTTGTCTATACACTAGACCTTTTCAAATGACCCCACAATCTACAGTATCATGTAGTTCTTTTTGGAATATTGAACCAAGTTCCTGATCTCTTCACGAGTAGCTTTTGATGGAGTTTCATGTTTTAAATATATTATTTTTTGTTTTTGAGTATCATATTAGTAAGAATAGTAATAAAATTTTAAATTATTAAGAAAAGGAGTTGATACTTGCGAGGAAAGTTAAGAGGTGAGAGGGTTGGTTGCTGATGGAGGGGTTTCTTGACTTTTTTTTCTCGTCCTTCTTTTCCTTCCTAGCCAACTGACAACCTCTGTTCTTGACCTCCACTACCCACTTTTTTAGTGCTGTTTTCTTGGTCTCACATTTCAAATTTAATATCAACAATTTATCGCCAACAAAAGTATATGTCCATAATTTTACCTAAAAAGATCAACATTTGCCTCAAATTCATTTCTGCTATAAGATTCACTATATAAGAGTTGAATAAAAAATACATGCTCCCGACAATGTTATATATATTCAGAAAAATATTTGTGATCCTCTTAAAAATAATTTTGAATCCATAGTACACTATGGTCATATTTGATTCACAAGACTAATAGTGAGGTATTAATAATTCCATCAAATTAGTGTGATATTCACTATTCAATTGGATTAATAGGATAAATTATCTATTGGATTAATAATCATACCCCTACCCCATTACTAATAATACTACAAATTTGTTGGATTAATTATCTATTGGATTAATAATCCTAAATCAAAATATTAAAACAAACATAAGATAATTGGACTAATGAATTAATAATTCCAATCCCATACTCTAATCCATCCAATCAAACATGCCCTATGGTTTCATCATTATGGATTCCCTATCTATATTTGTTTCAAGGCAAAATCACATAAAGTAAAGTGAATTTTAGCATAAATTTTAAATTCTAAGTATTTTTGAGAGTATATAGCATTTAGAAAGAGTAAATTGAGAAAGAAATTGAAATAAAATTTCACAAAAGGCCTTAACTAAAAAGAACCATATTGTATGTGCAGCTTCTTTACATCATCAAATCCTACCAAAGAAACCAACAAAAGCCCTTTTGGAGCTTTCCTTCACAGCAAGCTTGTTGGTCCATCATGCTTTCCATGAAGAAAAATAAGCACAAAATGACAAAAAGACCCTAAAGTCCCCCCATTAGAGAACAAGAAAGAACCAAGATGGTTCCTCAATCATACTGTATCTTATCTGTTTCCACACTTGCACTAAAACTACCCACAAGCCAAAAATTTGAGTTACTCACCAGTAACTTCAAGCTTAATTTCCACAAGCTGCAGTCAATATCGGAATTTTGAACTTCTGATATTGATATTTACTAACTTTATTGGTACGGTTACTTAAAAACCATGCTCAGCTGAATTGTGTGAGGAAGATGCATAGTCATATCCACCTGCCTGTCCTCCAAACTCAACACCATCTTCTTCATCTTCTATGGAAGGGAGCTCATTGAGATCAAACCCTAGAAATTTCCGACCCGTCTCGCTTGCCTCCCCCGGCGAGGTTGCTTGGCATGGTTGAGGAGCTTCAGCTGGACTGGTGGTCCCGTACCAGTGGCACCTTTGGTGACCCCCAAGAGCCTGGCCTGTAGAAAAAATCTTCCCGCAAATCTTGCACTGGTGGTTGGGGATCTCCGCCACCGCAACCGCCACCTTTGATGAGCTTCCACCACCTTCCTCCACCTTCGTTTCATCGACTTGGCCTATCGGATTGGTAGCATCAGGAGGGTACTGATACTGATCATCTAAAGGTTCATCAATGGTGAGACTGTTCTTGACTTTGTTGTGACTAGACCTATGTCCTCCCAATGCTTGGTGGGTTGGGAAGCACTTATCACAAGTGCTGCATTTGTATTTATCCGATGGCGGAGGCGGTGGTGGCGGAGTCGCTGTCTCGATCGGAATACTAACTTGATCGGCCGGAGCGGCATCTTGTACCGATTCCAAATCCCTCAGCTTCAGCTTCTTCCTCCTCTTCTTGCTCTTCATCATCATCAATGGCTTCGTATTCCCATCGGAGGTTTTGCAATCCGATTCATCGTCTTCTTGTCCGAGCCAATCCACATTAACCCATTCATGTCCCAACCCCACTGTTTTTCCTGGATCATACTTAGCTTCAAACACAGCCTTTCGTTTCCCTTTGTTCAAAATCTTCACTAACATACCATTCGAATTCGAACCACCATCAATGGGTCTTCTTTCATCGATTCTCAGCTTCTTCACCGGGTATCGAACCACCGGCCGCGGCGAATCAATTCTTGGCTTCATCGGGCTGTTTTTCGATTCAAGAACGCAATTCATGTCCTCAATTTCAGCCTTGTTTGTCAACGAATTACTGTTCGTAGCCTCAGATACATCAACTCTATGCTTGTTATGGGTTAACCCAGAAGGTTCAGAATCCAATGAATCTCCATGAGCTAGCATCATGAGATCTTGAACAGCGTCTTGTAACTTCTCCTCCTCCTCCTCCTCCTCCAGGGTGGGGCGGACCACGGCGGAGGCGGTGAGGGATCTCCGGCCTCTCCTCGCTTTCACCGACCAACCCGGCAAAGCCTTAGTCAAATCAATTTCTCGGATTGGAATCGCCATAGCTCCATCTAAATCAATCTCATCATCAAAGACTTTTCGAGGCTCGGAGGTGGTGGCGAAATTGGATAGAGAAGACGACGATGAGCTGTTCTTGGCGGCCGCCGGAGGAGGAGGAGGTTGAATTCCCCTCCATTCTCTCTCCGGATGACACCTCATGTGCCCAAACAACGATTTCATAGAAGGAAAATTTTTCCCACAAAGCGAACAAGTCGGTGAATCGATAGCATTGTCTGTGTCTGTCTTCTCCGGAAGATCAAGGAGCTCTTGGCGATGAATTTTCTTGGGTTTGAGCTTTTTGACAGAGAGCTCTTTGTTGGGTTGAACATGAACTCTCATGTGACCCCCAAGAGCTTTTCCAGAGCTAAACCATTTGTTACACACGTTGCATACACGAGGCTGATCGTTTTTCTGAGATCGCCCAGTCTGATCATGATCAACAACAACAACGCCTTCTTCAAAGCTCGGAATTTTGAGCTTTATACAGAGCTTTCCTTCGCCGGAACTGGGTTTTGGTATCGGAGGATGAGATTGATTTTCTTGATCATATTCCATTGTTGTCGTAGAAGAAAGAAACGCCAAGAACAAGAAACCCAGCTGAAGTTGTGTATGTATGTGGGTATTTGTGTGAATGACAGTGATGGCTCAGATTGAACAAGTGAGCGAGATGGGTAGGTATTTGAGACCTAAAAGGACAACCCAAAAGACTGAGATTTTGATCGAATACTAAAAAATAACAGAAAAACAAGACTGGAAAAAACGCTTAGAAAGAGAATTAAAGAGAAGATTAGTCAGATCAAGAAGGTAGAGTTGCTTAGCTCCAAAGAAATCAAAAAAAAAAAAATATATTCACAAACCCAGCTCGAAAAATCAGCTCCTAAATAAGATATATATATTCACGTATGTATGAAGCCAACACAAGCACGGACCAGAGAAAAAGAAAAGAAACGAAAACTGAAGAGAGAATGAAGAAGAATAAGAAGAGGAGAGGGAAGATGAAGGGGTGAGGGAAGGTCGTGATTCTTAACTGCTGGTGGTGGTGTGTGGAAATTGACTGTCACGTTCTTCGTCTCTTTGCCTCTTATTCCGGTTTTTCAGAATCTTCTGTTTCTCTCTCTCTCTCCCTCTCTCTCTCTCTTCAACTCCCAAAAACATACTCCGACCCAAACTTTTGAATTCAATTCTTTCAATGACAACACACACACATAACAAACAAAAAAACTTATGCTAGTAGAGTCCTAGTAGTGCCAACTAAGGAAGTACTGTGGAAAAGATTTTCTCCCCTCCCACAAAATATAATATAATGTTTGGAATGGGAAAAAAATTTTTTTGAAAAGGAAAAGATTTTTTTACCGCATCTTTTTTAATAAATTAAATATATATATATATATTGAAAAATCAATTCTGAATTAATTACATTAATACCCTTTAACTATTAGTTAATATTATTTTATAAGTGAGGTTTTGACTATTCGACTTGTATTAATGAATTAATATTATTCAACTTGTATTAATGAATTAATATAAGACTGTAAATGAATTGAGCTGTTTATAAATAAGTTGAACTTTAACTCATTTATAGCTTGTTAGCTGAGCTTGAACTTAGATTTTAGGCCCTTTTCAGTATTGAGCCGAGCTTGAATAGATTTAAACTCGACTTAATAAAGTTTGTTAACATAAAGAATATCATTTATTTTTAATAATATATCACATATATTTTAATTATTTTATTTTATTTTCTAGTTCTGTTTGGTATCTGAGCAAATTTAAATATTTGATTAGTAAACTTTATTATTTATAGGATTTTTTATTATGTTTTACTCATTTTTTTCCTAACTCATGAGCTTCACTTGTTTATGTAATAAAGTTTCTCAAATATTTGACAAATTGGGTTTGAGTTTGATTTTTTTAATTCAATTTGAGCTTAGCTCAAGCTCAAGCTCGATTAAATCTTAGCAAACTAAGTTCAAATATCCTAAAGTTTAGCTCATTTGTAGCTCTAGGGGATGAGATAAAATGATATTCGTTAATAATCAAGAAATTTTAATGTAATTAAAACATAAATTTTTATTTTTTGTACGCATAACATAATTGCTAATATTTTTCCATAAATGTTTGTGGGTAAGAAGGGTGACTTTCTTGGATAGCTCTCATCATCTGCCTAAAATCTCTCACGCTAATTGAGCATTACGATTACAAAATATTTTCCTAAAATAATAATAATAATAATAATAATAATAATAATAATAATAATTAAAATAATAATAATAATAATAATAATAATAATAATAATAAGATTTATACCCAAAAAATTTCACCAATTGAAAATCTTATTTACTAATAGAAAAGAAACCTCTAGGATGTAAACTCTTAAAACTTTTGAATTAATATTTATCTCTCTATCTAGATCATAACTATTTTATTCTCTCTTTCTCTATCTTCTTTTTTTGGGTACAAGGTGGTTTTTTTTCTTTTTTAATTTTAATAATGTACATATCAAAAAGTGCTTAATCAGTGAGGTCTTGCGAATTGAACGGTCACGATTTGAGCTGAAACTTCATCATCATCATCAGAGAGGCCAATAGAGAGCTTGCCTGGTATTTAGTGGTGCATTAATTTCTTTTTAACACCCAAAATTAATTGCTTATTAAAATTGTCAATTACTACTCTATTTTTCTTCCACGCGGTTTTGAACTTTGCTTCTCTAGTCCTTCCCTATTTTACCCTGGCAACAAAGTTAGAATTGCGAAACAAATTAAACTATTTGAGTTTGACTCGTATTCTACTTATTAAAAATTTAATATGAGATCAACTAGTTATAGAAATAAGTTTAAAACTTGCAAGTTTTTAAGTCAAACTTAAATAATTTACTATGACTACTCAAACTCGATTCGGATTAAATACAAAAAAACTCATTTGAGTGATAAATCAAATTTAAACACATTTTAAAATTCGTTAAGTTTTTAATTTAAGCTTAAATGACAATAGGGCCGTAAACAATTTCAGTGGTAAGTTATTTAAGTTTGATTTGAAAATTTAAACAGTTTTAAAATTATGTTTAAGTTTAACTTTTAACTTTTCAAGAGTCAATTATAAGTTGAACTCATATATATATATATATTTGATAGTTTATAAAACCAAGTGAAGTCAAATAGTATGTTGGTTCAAGTTTAATTTAAAAATAAGAATAATGTTATATGTATCAATTAGTGCACTAACTAGTATACCAATTGATGATGTGAGTTGATTATAAGTTGAACTCAAATATATATATATATATATATATATTTTGATAGTCCATAAAACCAAGTCAAGTCAAATAGTATGTTGGTGATCAAGTTTAATTTAAGAATAAGAATAATGTTATATGTACTAATTAGTGCACTAACTAATATATCAATTGATGGTGTGATAAAATTTAAGATATTTTTGGTATTTATAATTTGTATAATGAGTGAAGTCAATAATAATATCATAACTAGTATCGGTACACTAATTAATACACTAATTAGTACATGTAACACAACTTTAAAATTTAAAAACTTACTTAGGCCTCGTTTGGGAACAGGCTAATTTAGTAACTTTTTGGCTATTTGGCTAAAAAGGTAGGTAAAAAAACTTGTATGAGAATAATGTTATATGTACTAATTAGTGCACTAACTAATATATCAATTGATGGTGTGATAAAATTTAAGATATTTTTGGTATTTATAATTTGTATAATGAGTGGAGTCAATAATAATATCATAACTAGTATCGGTACACTAATTAATACACTAATTAATACATGTAACACAACTTTAAAATTTAAAAACTTACTTAGTTTCAAATTGCATTATTGACTCACTTATTTACGTAATAAATTTTAATACATCAAATACGTGCTCGTTTTACTATCCTAATGTGAAAGAATATCTGGGCCAATCCGAAATCTGCATTTTTGGGTTTTCTTGACCGACTTTTTTTGTGCAATTCTTTAGATAACTTTGTTTTTTTCATTTTTCTTTTTAATTTGCTTTACTAAGAAGTCCATAAGTATATATATATATGTGTATATTATTTTAAACAATGTGTGAAAAGACAAAATCCTTAAAAAAAAAAAAAGAATTAAATGCAATTGCCAAACTAATCCTTAAGGTGTAAGGGGGTCCATATCCTATGAATGAAATGCATCATTCATGTGGTGTCGATTATGTGGAATGGGTTACCAAATCTCTGGCATCAAATCACAACAACTGACTTCTTAAGTACACCATTCATCTAATTGTATCCTACTATTATATTAATTTTTTATTATTATAATAATTACAATAATATAGTAGTAAATAGTTTCTATGACCCTCCAGCAATAATTTAAAATACCTATGCATATCAAGGCAAATGTGACCCATTGAAAAGTTTCCCGAATTAGGAAAGAAATTTTTTTCCTTTGAACAATTCACGAAATTTGTACTTACTAAAATGGGACCTAAAAAAATACAATGTGATATAATTACTTGCCTAATTGCAATGGGAACTCTTCTTTGAGAAGTGAAAATAATTACTGAATTTAAATTGAAAATTTATAATAAAAAATAAAAGAAAAACTGACTTAAAGGTCACATCAAAACGGGAGCTAAGAAAATTTACTAAAATAAATATGATATAATTACAAGCGTAATCGAAATGGAAATTTTTTCGTTCCTTTAAAATTCACATTTAATTTATGAAATCCAATAATTATACTCCATGTGCCAGCAAGTCAAAATAAGAAAATTTGAATTAAAATTAAAATTTCCAAATAATAAAATAAAATGGAAGAAAAAACTGGCTTAAAAGCCAATACCAAAACCAAATCTAAGAAAATTTACTAAAACAATAGGATATGATGTAATTACATGCTTAATAGCAATGGCAATGCTTCTTGACCCCATTAATTAAATATCATTTACTTTAAAATTTGCATTTTATTAATGAAATTCAATAATAATATTCCACATGCCAATCCTCATAATCTTTTGACATGCATGTCTTGATAAGCATGACATTAATGTAGATTAAGGGACATATGGTGCATGACCCAAACTATGGATTTTCTTTTTCTTTTCCTTTTTTTCTTTTTCTTTTTCTTTTTCTTTTTTAATTGTAGATAATATCCCTTTTAAGCATTGGGGTTGGGTTGAGAGTAAGCTTGTTCAAATTTCTAAGTTGAGATGGGTTTCATTTTTCTTGAATTTCAGTATTCAAACATGATATATTTTGGTACAATTTTTTTAATTTTTTTTTTTTTGAAAACACTAAAAATTAGTTTGACTAAAATAACTTCTAAAAAATATATTGCTGTTTTGTATAAATTTATTTCTGTCCCCAAAAGGAGAAAAGTCAATTGAAAATAATGAATGTTTATTGATTTATTTATTTTTTTCATCAAATTACTTTTTGAAAAAAATTCAAAAGATAAATTTAAAAAATTCAACAAAACAGAGAAAATTGTACAACATGATACACACTACGGAATGGTTTGGTGCAGTTTATCCGAACCATAAAAAAATTGAAATCTCTCTAGTTAGGCCCACTTGGCACATTATAGGGTTCATCTTAATAATCCAACATGTTCAAATTTAAGTGTGTAAATCATCTATTAAAAATAATAATCACATAATTTGATTATATTTATTTTTTTAAAATTAAATAATATATTATTAAAATCGCTGTAGATGCGCCCTTGGGCCTCACTACAGTTCGGACTCAATTTGTGTCACGGTTCTTAATCTAAACCAAAGAGTCCAAATCCGGCAAATTGTTTTGAGAAAAACAGATTTTGAAAGAAGTGCCAAACATGGACTGCTTTGCTAGATATAGAGTCGCCACCTAAATATTTTATTTTGAAAAATTTAGGAAACCCTGATTCGGTGCCAAAGGCCACGTGTCCGTCATCACCAAAGTTGCCTCGGCTCGGGAACTTGGGTACGATTGGGGAAGATCAGTTATGAGCACCCCCTCTCGCCCGATCCGAAGATCGGCCTCTACTAACCGTGATATCCGTTTTTGAAAACGTTATGTGTTCTTATTTCGGTTATTAGCCTAGATTTACTACGTTATGCGCACAACAAACAAGTATAGATTAGATCGCCTTATTTGGAACAAAACATTGCATATCCCTTTGTTTGGAAAACGC